AAAACGGGGTAGGATTGCAGTTTAAGAAAGGCCTCCAATTCTTCTTTTTGTGTCCACCACTCTATTTATGCTGCTTTTCCGGCTGCTTCGGCATGCTCGAGCCCTCCCGGATAATCCGCCTCAAGTGTTTGCATCGTGGTCTGCAGCTGCGCCTGGCACATTGCCGGAGCCAGCTAAAAAGCAGCTAGGTGCTTGAAGAAAAAAGCAATTGCCCCCCCCAACCATTCCAGTTCACGATCCAAACGTTATTTTTTGTAATACACAGTCCTCAATAGTCGAACGATTCCAAGGAATAGGTTCAACAAAAACAATCAACAACAGTCTTGAGTTTAAACTCAAAAGATTGACTACAGGCATTGACACCAGTGTCCGTCTTTGATTTTCTGTGATTCGATACCTGCCTCAACTGTTTGCTGCGCTGTCTGCACTTGCACCGCTTGTGCCTGTGCTGTCGACAGCGCTTGCGCTCTCTGCATCTCTTCGACTCTTCGACCCCCATTTTTCGCTTTTCCGCCTGCCAGGCTTCGCACTGCCTTCCCAAGTCTGCTGAAGTGAGTCGTTCCTTCTCCAGCTCCTGCTGCTGAACCTGCAGAGCTGAAAAGCATGGTTTCGTGGAGTTCACCACCAGTAGCGTCCTAGTAGCAATGGTAACAAGACCTGAAACAAAAAGAGCACACATAGCCTTTTTGAGAAAACCACCATTTGCGCCCTGCTTTAACGACGCAGGGCGAAAGACGCGGTTTTCCAGGCTTCGGCTCTTTACTCAATTGGTGGAGTGGAGGTCATCCGACCGCATCGCTTACCATACTGGAACCACTCTGCAAGCTGGGATGGGATCCTATTTTCAGGACACAGGACTAGCATCCGTATGAATCGAAAAAACCAGCCAATCAGCCAAACAATAACGAGACGATGAGCATGTTCATCATGTTCTGTCTATTCTATTTAGTATAAAGGTCAATGCATCACTCCCAGTGCCTCGAGTGCTTGCTTAGTGCTGAAGAGCTGCGCCTGACCCCAAGCCAGGCTGTTTGGCATCTCTGAATTCATCTCAAAAAATGCACCCATCCGATTGGCCAAATCAACCGAAGGTGTGCTCCCTCTGGGTTTTCTGCGGACGGCGGACACATCTCAGCCCTCTGGGCCAGAGTTCGCACGTCGGCCTCGAGCTCACTGCATTTGGCCAGTTCCTTCACGAGCTCCTGCCCCGTTCCGGAATCACATTCTGGAATCACATGCCGGAACATCATGACACCACCCTCCATGCAAATATGCTAAAACAAATCCGTGCACTCCTGCGATTCACCACGTTTCTTCCGCAACTCCGCCTGCAAGTCTTGTGCTTCACCTGGGCTCTTCGAACCATGAAGCACCGCGGAAAGTGCTCACGAAGTGTTTGGGTCCACAAAATGGCTCCCCGAGTGGCGTGATTTGGCCGCAAGCTGCTGCTGCAATCCTTGGTGCAAAATCGCGCTTTCCACGTGACACTGAGTTCCGCCACTGAACCACAAGGCTTCTTTTTGAGCAACATCTTTCCAGTAACTCACGAATCGGTCCCAGTGTCGTTCTATCTCTATCTTCTGGATTTTCATCTGTGACAAAGCGCCGCACAGCTCCTGTTGTGACGCCCGCGTCAAGCTGCAGGAAGAGTTTTCGAAGACGATCGCAAAAACCGAGGTGACACGTTGACATATTAACCATACCATACTCCCTCTCTTTTTTTAGATCCCTCTCTTCTTGACGACCTCCTTCTTTTCCGTTTTTTCGCTCGACCGGGGCGTTCGATTCGATTCTCACCGTCCTCTCGATGTGAGACCAGCTGTTGGTCTCGGGCGGCCGCCGTGGCCTGGCGACGGGACGCTTTTGGTTCCTCACGGAGGCCGTCTCAAGCAATGCGAGGAACAGAATAGACTGCGTCTTGACATAGGCCTAGGCCCACCAGGTCCCGGATTCATTTTGATACAGGTCTCAAAGAGGTCGGACACCTTTGAATTCTTCAGGTTGCGGGGCTCCGCTGCCACCCACACCCATGTAGTCACTTCGCCTGCAGTTCTTGGTGATTCCGAAACGCTTCGTTGCGCTGTGCCTCCAGGTCCTTCCGACAAAGTGCTCGGTTCGCGAAACCGTTGAAGGAAAAGGACTAAACGCGTTCGCGGATATTGTCTTTTTGTGCTTTTCCCCTCCTGCATCCAATGCACATGTCAGACCTGTTGAACATGTTGAACACTCCCTCTGCACAGCCCGCCGAAAGATCTTCGGAACAGTCAGATCGAACATGTTCGCAACGCGAGGCGAGGAGTCTTTGGCGTTGCCATTGGCCATCTCGAGTTGCTTCTTCGTGAGGTCCAACTCCATGCTTTGTCTCTCCTGCCTCAGTTTTGCCCGAGGGGGCAGCATCAGCTACAGCAAAGAAATGAAAAGAATTTCAGTAGGCTCATTGACTCATCGCTCCTAGGTTTGGAGGCCATCGCTATTCGGTTGGAGGCCATCGCTACTAGGTTTAAGGCCATCGCTATTCGGTTGGAGGCCATCGCTATTTGGTTGGAGACCATTGCTATTGGAAGCTCCGTCGCTATTCGATTGGAGGCCATTGCTATATTTTTTGTTCTTCTTCCATTCAAAGAATACATACGAATACCCACCTTTGTTCTGCCAGCTCGGAGCGCAACTTTTTCAAAGATGGTTAGAATCGGTTGGAACAGCAACCATCTCAGCGAAGAGGGCTCGCGGCGACCACGGAGTGGATTCGGGATTTGGTGCTGACAATAGAGGACCAAGGACTTGATGCACCGCGCCCTGACTTCTTCTGTCATGAATTCATTTTGCCAGACGCCTTTTGTCTGCTCGCAGACGCTTCGCGTGCGAAATGAACAAAACATCGTTCAGTGTTTCGCATTCGGCACTCGGCCCTCTGGGCTCCAGGGCTCCCTCCGAAGTGAGGAGATCTGCATCTCCAAGTCAGAGGCGCGCTGCTGGGCCTCTTTGAAAGCTGTTTTTAGCTGTTTTGCAAAGAGGCGACCTTTCAAACATCTCAGAAACAGCTCAATCTGCTCACTTTGAACATGGTTTTTCAAGGTCTTATTTTAGTTGGGAACTCCCCTAGTGCCCGTGTATCTTTCAGCAATCTTGACACTTCCACACGTGGATGCACCACTGGTGCAGGACGATTGTGACGTGGCTATGTTCACCAGGCCTTGAGATTGAAAGACCAAAAGTAACCCTTTGGAGGATTTTGTTTGCTAGTAGTAACAAGTGCCAAGTGCCTTACTAGTAGTAACAATGTTCGCTACTAATTAGAATTCTAATTAAATTCAAACCTTGTTACTACTAGTAAGGCACTTGTTACTAGAAGCGATGCACTTTTTCCTACTAGCACACAAAATCATCCTTCGGCTATTTGCATGTTTCCCTACCAGACCGGTACCGCAGACGGCTTGGTCAATTTCATTCACGGCAGACTTCACACCAAACATGACCGCAGCACATGACCGCAAGACGGCTCGGTGGTCACTGGTCAATTCCCCGATCTAGAACCAAATCATTAGTGCGTGAGCTATCCTGCATCCTAGCTAGGAGCTTCCTATTGCTAGTCGCTTACTTCTCCCTTAAATAAGTACGCGCCCATTGGTTAAGTAGGAGCGGCCGCCGCATGGCTGTCTTCCTCTTAGGCTGGCACTGCTTGGAGGTCCTTTTTGGTGGCTGAAGCACCTTGACGGCTCTCTTCCAGCTGAGCCTGGAACCAAGTTGAAGCAGTTATATAACTGGCCAACTGGGCCAGAAAAACAGGAATGCCCAGTGCCCGATCTATCATCCATGGCCCCAGGAGAATAGAACTCGAAAGCAATGGCAACCATCAGGAATCAAAGGTGCTGACTTCCTTTTGGCAAGTTGCCATTAAAAAGTGGTCAGAACAAACTTTGCAAACGGAACAGGCAGCTAGTGACGTAGCATGCGAAGCTGTGCGAAGTGCTGTGACCTGTCTGACCTGGAAAGGCTTCTTGTTTCTACGTTCGCTTCTTGTTACTACTAGTAAGGCACTTGTTACTAGAAGCGATGCACTTGTTCCTAGTAGCTTCTTGTTACTACTAGTAAGGCACTTGTTACTAAGCGATGCACTTGTTACTAGCGTGGCACTTGTTTCTAATAGCTTCTTGTTTCTAATAGCCGGTGGGATGGATACGGCGGGATGGAGGACAGTTCGATCTAAGAAATGTGCATGGTGGAACATGGTCCCTTGAGGATGACCGCTTTTTCCGAGAAGGCGTGCTTTCTTTAAATTCTTAAAATCGGACGTCCTCTGTCATTTGGTGCATTTGAAGTTCCATCTCTTAAAGGCACGGTTTTGGGCTTCCCACAAATGCGCTGCCTCACATCATGTTCACCCCACCAGGTGCATTGCTATCGAGATCCTCCCGCACCTGCAGCTTGGTGGCCTTCTCTTCAAACTCTTTGCTTTTGCTTGACTCTTGGGCCAGTCGCTCGCACTCCTATGTTCAGAAATCCGCGGCTTCTCAAAACTGGGCGCCTTGAATAAAGCCACCCAGCTTCAAATTGTTGGGTTCTTTTGAGTCGGGTTTTGGACATTTGGCATCCATTATTGGGAAGGAGGCAAGCATGGAAGGAGCGCATCAAGACCTTCCGAGACCATGTGGAGATGTCCAGGTCCGTCGCTTTGTTCTCGGTGGCTTTTATTGATGGTTTTCGCATATTTCAACCAGTTGAGTCACCCAAACCCGGAACACATTGATGCCACCTAGCTGTGAGGCACCCAGCATATTACCACCCAGCAGTCCCGAAAATATACACAACACACGAGGACGCAAAATCGCAGCTGCCTCTCCTGCACTTTGCTGGCCAGCTGGATCGCCAGTTCAGACTCCCGACCACTGGCATTCCCCAACTCTGACTCCACTTGGGCAGCGTAGTGCAACATCTTCCGTTCAAACCTGAGTTCGATTGTCCGGCTGCTCCGGAGGAGCAAATCAGGAAAAGGAGATGCCAAGAGAGTTCGATTGAATAGAACCACGATTTCATGATTCGCCTCTAGGCATAGCTAGGCTGATCAACTGGTGATCAGCTAGCAGCTAGTAGAAACCTCTTTAAAAGTCTTCGACAGGCCGACCTCGGAGACCAAGACACTCTCGAATACGCCAAGACACTCTCTCTTTTGAACCTCAAACTGTGCCTGCAATAGAAGCTACGAACGTAACAAGTGCATCGCTACGAACGGAACAAGTGCCTTACTAGTAGTAACAAGAAGCGAACGTAGAAACAAGAAGCCTTTAAACTGTGCCTGCAATTCTTCTGCCACCCGATGCGCAGCACTGATATCACCTTGAGCAAGCGCCTGTTGCTGGAGCAACTGCTTGATCTCGCAGTCCTGGTTCCAGCGCGTGGCATATGACGACTGGGTGAAGGAAGACAGGATACAAGATGCTAAAGGCAGAACTGGTGGAAAATTCAGGTATCAAAGACGAGAGACGCTGAGAGGTGTGACGTCAAACCGGATCTTCGAGACTTTGAGAAACGGCTCGACTTGAGAAAGCAAACGCCCGTGCGTCGCCGGACCCTCTGACCCAACCGACTAAAGCGAGCGATGTCAATCAGCGGACGGATCGGAATGAGCTACCAGGGCTCAGTGGATGATGGTGAATGTTTCTAAAATAGGGATCATGGGACTGATCCAGAAGCGAAAGCAAAGACCGGACCGATCTGCGCGCTGTGCATCAACTCAGATGGATCGGTTTTTCATTCCTTACTTAAGGACATCGTGTCAGGTCCGCATGAAAATGCCTTGGAACGGATCTCTCATGTCGAATTCCCGAGACCGCCGAGACCGCCGAGACGGATCTAGGTCCTTGGACCGGATCTTGGTCTCCAATTCAGTGGCACGCTCCTTCTCTTGCAGAAAGAATCGCAGATCCTTCTCCTGAACACACGGTGTCCACGCCATGTTCGCTACGTTCGGTTCGCGTCCCTTGCTACGTTCGTCGTAGTAATGGCCGCCACCCTAGTCGCTTCGTGTTACACACCACCGCTCCCTTCAACCGACTGGTCGACGCACCCGAAGAGAGTCGGCCCAGTCCTCCTCTTCAGCCCAGGCCTGCCATCTTTCAAGCTCCTGCGAAGCGGCTCCGTTTTGATCGTCCGTCACCCGGCCTCCCTGCGTTTTAAAGCAGGTGAGAAGCACAACGAGAGGTGAACGGAGGCTCAGCTGCGGTCCGCTTCCAACTCCGTGACGCGCGTGGTCGCGGAGTAGAAGAAGGCCTCCGCGTCGGATCGAGGGCGCCACGCCCGCCATCAGAGTGGCGTCCGATCGCTCCGTTCGTAGCGATGCCAGGAGCCCCGTTCGTAGCGTCCGATCGCTCCGTTCGTAGCGATGCCCTTTGCTCCTAGTAGCGTCCTTGTTCCTAGTAGTAAGGCCAGGAGCCCCTAATAGCGTCCTTTGTTCCTAGCAGCGAAATGAACATGACATGGACAGTCCAAAATCGCTGGGAGCCCGCCGAGGCAGATTGGGTGACATCGTCCTGCAGGGCAGAAAAACATCCATTGCATGAGAGGCAGAACAGTCTCAAGATGACTCATTCGCAAAAGACCTCGTTGGTCATGTAAAACCACTTGATCGTCAACCCAGAACCCTTTGATCGTCACGCACTGAGCAGGCCGCCAGCGTGGACTGCATAGCACGGCATTTCTCTTCCGACTCTTGAACGCCTGGGCACCGTTCGAACAGCACAAGGACCTGGGAGAAAAAGAATCACTTCCATGGGATGTAGTGACGATGGCCTCCAACCTAAATAGCTTCTTGCTACTAGTAGTACGGCCAGGGGCCCCTAGTAGCGTCCTTGCTCCTAGTAGCGATGCCCTTTGCTCCTAGTAGCGTCCTTGCTACTAATAATGGCCACGTCTTCACAAAACAAAAAGACCGCGCGGTCACTTGTGGCGCCACCAACCCACCCCACGCAGCTTCTCTTCTTTCGGCCGATAGCAAAGGAAACACTCCTCTCGGCCAAGTCGGAGCAAATGATCCACTGCGCAGCTGAGGCAGTCTCCGAGACTCCATCGAGTTTTCCCAATCAAAGCCATCTGGAAAGGTGTGGAAAACTCGTTTCCAAACACCGTTCATCTCTCACTCTTTCTTCTCGGTTCACTCTCGGCACCGTCTTCACCTTCACGCTTCGGCCATGCGAATCATCCCCGCTTCCAGTCCGCAGCCCGCGGCGCAGCTCGATCTGTGAAGCTCATTGATCTCCTACTGGCAGGCACTCAAAGCTTTACTCCAGTATTGGAGCGAGTCCTTCCGCAGAACTTGGTGATGTGCCCGCATGAGTCGGCTGATGGAAAAGGCTTCTTCCTGCGAAGGAGCTTGCACTTCTTGAGACCTTGCTACTAGTAGCGTCCTTGCTACTAGTAGTAATGGCCTCCAACCTACTAGCGATGGTCTCCACCCTAGTAGCGTCCTTGCTACTAGTAGCGATGCATTATGCAAAGTCTTTGCAGGTCTTCTCTTTTTGATGTGAGGCCAGCATGCACAGCGTCTGCCTGCGACATGGTGGCAAGGTGCAACATCTCCCTGGCACTCCTCCATGCCACAGCTTTTGAAATCCACATGCTGTCACATGCTGATTGGCTCATGGTCAGGAAAGGGAAAAAGAACACCATTTACAAAATCCATTGAAATCATTCATAGTAAATCTGACATGCTGTCTACTTGAATTTCTTGCATCCCTCTCCTGAAGCGGATCAAATGAGGCCAAAGCTCCCATTCAGTGTACTGTGCCCAGTAGCCTCATGGGCCGCCAGTCTGGTGCCATAGACGGCCGGTTTCCGGGTCGTTGCCCAAACCGGGAGGAGAGGACAAGAGAACAGAATTGGACTCTCCTACCGGCTGGAAAGTTCGACCGTTCGACCCAAGGAACGTCGATCTTCTTCGAAATGGCCAGGATGAAAGATCTTTTGTTGGAATTCGAAGGGTGAATATGGATAGCTATTGTTGCCACTGATCCTCGGCGAGAAAGCATGGAGCTTTCTGAAGCTGCATCGGATCTACAACGTGTCTAAGATTGGAACGTTCCAGACTTGGCATATCCAAGACACTCCATGCATGATATGGCAGCCATTGGCAGCCATGTCAGGTGGCATATAGAATATTTCCGTTTGGGGTGCGTCGAAAAATGGGGGGTCAATGCGATATGCCACGACCGGATGGTCACCGGGTCGGCCCAGAGGCCGAACCGGTGACCAACTCGCCTTCTTTTCGCCCAAGGGTCGGATCCACCGAGCGTGACAAGTCCGGGTCGCTGCGTCCGCAGAAGGGTCCCGCGAAGGGCCACATGAATTTGTGCAGCAACGGTTGCGCCGGCACCAGGGTGGGCGATCCCAACCTCAGAAAGCGAAGCGCCACACGTCCGTCGGAGCGTTGGTCGCGTCCGTTGGTGGCCACACGTCGGTCCCGACATGGTCACAGCCCAAAGGGCGCGAAGACATCTGGCAGTCGTTGAGCATACGGAACGTGTGGAAGTAGAGCCAGCAGCCTGTAGTGACCAATTTCTTGGAAGCCTTAGCGCTCCGGTTTTTGGCCCATCCGAACTGCATGCCTTGTATACATGCTCATTGCCTGTTGTGGCAAGCAGCTCAGTGATTTCTTCGAAGCATCCATGATGACAATCCTGGCCACTGGCAGGCCTTGTGCTTTGGCCTCTTCTGACAGCATCTGGAGGACTCGAATGAAGCCCGGCGCTCCGGGTAAGCGAAAGCGAAACAGCAACACATCCTCAGACCGCAACACATTCCTCTGCCCTCCACTCGTTAGTAGCATTCGTTAAGTTTCCCTCAGAATCTAGGAGCCAAATCATTAGTTGACATGCTATCCTGCGTCCTAGGTAGGAGCGAACAAGTTCCTAGTAGCTTGCTAGTCGCCTTACTTAATGAATTAAGTCACCGCCTACTTAATATATATAAGTAGGGAGCAGGGGGGAGCGGGATAAAAATAAGAAAAGGACCGTTCACAAAACAAGCGAGGCAACACCTGAGCAACACCCTGAGTTACACCAAGCAACGCGTTGCTGGCCCGCTAAATGCGGCAGCTGGCCCTGCACCAGGCCTTCAATTCGGGTCTTTTCCGCAATGGCTGGATAGAGCGGCATTGAGTTTCTGATAGAGCATCAAGTACTCCCTTATGGTCCGCCTGTTTCTGAATCGGCAGCTTTTCCGGAACTGTCGATTCGATGGAGATCTCGCCCGGCCAATTCCCAGAACAGCAATCCTTTTCACCGTCACAGCCAAGTCTCTGGGGAGTTGGGGCGATACTGAGCAGCTGCTTCCACGTGCAAAGACAATGCTGGCACATACGGTGGTCGAATGCCTTAGAGAGTCGTGTGCCCAGTCGTGTGCCCACAAAGGCGCCAGTCGTGAGGACAACTGAGCACGCCATGATGCCCAACTGCCCAAAGCTGAAAGAGACATAAAAGAATGCCAAAGATACTGATTATATACTTATCACATGTCATCGCTCTTCTAAAGCCTTCCGTGTTCTCTTTTATCCTTAGCAAGCCTTAGAATTGGATGTTTAATCGGTCTTCATCCGACTCTCTCCCTGCCCTTCCTATTCCACCTAGTGGCCGGCTTGAAAGTTCAACATCTCGGCGGAAATCCTGGCTGCTGCACTGATGGCCTGCCCAAATGGCCGTTGAGGTCAACTCCCCACGGATCAACGTTGACGCCACCCGGAGAAAGTAGATGGCACAAGGCAGAATGTGAAGGAAGAAGCAACTAAAAGCATGTTTCAAGCAACCCTCAACGGAATCTGCTCGCGGAATTGAATAACTTGTGCATTTGATGGGTCTTCGTACGGGTCGAGCGCCTTGACTTCAGAGCCCATGGCACGTACCAAAGGCCAAAAGTGGGGCAACTCCTGGCGTTTTCTGCGGCAACGATGGCGACGCCTTTGATTCTTTTCGCTTCACGATGTTCCCTCATGTTGAATTTTCCTGCTTCCTCTTCTTTTTGGATGGTCTGCTCCCTAAAACTTGCTTTGCCTGCTCTCCGAAGATCTGGGAGAAGGAATGCAAAAGACACATGCTCACACGTACCAAAAGTCGACTGGAACCCACTGCTGCGTGCATCCTCGGTGTGGAGCGCGGAGCGAGCGAGCTACGTGGAGCGAGCTGGAGTGACACCGTTCGCGAATGCGCCGAGTGGCAGCACGCAAAGCCAAAGGGGTTCACAGCAAATCTGTATACCTCAAAGAACCGCATCTGTGCGGGCAATGGAAGCACCATATACTCAGGTCAATATAGGAATATATATGAATGAGATTGAATGAGTCATTTGTAGTCTGAAGGTTTTAGAAGCTTAGATGAACCGCATCATTCATGTCTGTTTCTCCTTTTTGATTTCATAGATTTCACCCCACCAACAGGGAAACGTCTCCACCCCCCCTCTCTGGCTTGGGTCCAAGGTCCGTGAAGAGAAATGAACAAAACCTGAAGCGACTTGAGCATTGTCAACATGGTGGAGAAAAAACACCTGTCATACTGACATCAAACCAATCCTTTACACTTTTATCACCAACTCTCGGAATCCTCCCCCTGAGAACACCCCCAATGTCCACACCGTCTGCCGCGCCACGCGCTGCGCGGAGGAAGGGCTCCCGCCATGCCCAGCCCTTCAGCGCAGCTACCGCGCCCGCCACCGTCCAGCGCGGCGCCGAGCTGCTCTCAGAACGGCCTGGTGACCGAGTGGGCGCCCAAACGCCCGAAGGAAGAACACAAACAAAGAGCATCGAAAAGACGTGACAGAATGTGAGACACATTTTAGGTGGATGGCACTGGCAAAAAGCTTTCTTTTTGCTCTTGATCCCGTGTCCCTCTGCGCCCCAAGGAGCGCCCGAAACTCGGCTCTTCCGAATGCCCACAGCGTTTTGGCGTTGCTTTGTTCCACAGCCTTGTGACTTGGTCAAAGGCTCGCCCCAAAACCTGGTTTGCAGCACGAGCCCAACAAAGGACGCAAAAGAAAAACAGCGACCGCCTACTGCCTACATGAGTTCTGTTTGAGATCTGCAATATGGGCATTCTTTGTCGGAATGACCAGCCGCAAGCCGAAAATCACCAAGACTTCCCACAGAGGAACGCTTCCCAAGACATTCGCAAGCTCCTTCGTAGTTCTTCTCCTTGCGCCGTGCCTTCCAATGCCCATAAATACGTGAAGAAGTGCCCCGCCTCGATCTCAGGGCCGCCCTCAGCTCCATCGGTCGCACAGTTTCGCCAAACGGCCTCTGTGGTGCTCAAATGGTCCAAGTTCACCGGGCCATGCTCCCCGATGAGCGCCACACGCAACGGTTCAGACGTTGTCGTGCTTTTCGCGCACCACCAGTCGGAAGACTGGAAGGACGGTAGGTCGTGGGACCAATGGGTCAAAAGAGGAGGTGGAATTGGCGTCTCTTGGCAGTAGGCCTCGTAATTTCGATAATAGCTCCTCTCCACGTTGAGGTTCACAGCCTCAAGTCGTGCTCGAGCGTGCTTTTTCTGTTTCTTCTTCCTCTGTGGATGAGAAAAAAGGGGCAGAAGTGTGCCACATCCATGCTCAGCTGAGTTGCGATGTCAAAGGAAGTGAGGCCCCAGTTTGCCTGCAGCGGACAGGTCGTTCTGATTTGCCGCTTTCCCAAACAGAAGGCTGGCACCTATAAATCGTGGCGTCCAAGCCGCAGACTCCGAATGGTCGAGCACATACGAGGGCACTGCATAAATCAAACCAAACGCATTGACCATCCCCTCCTCAGAAATGGTACTAACCTTCCACAAGAACTGTCCAGAAATGGTAACAAATGGCACAAACATCCAAATGCAGTCCAGATTCCCAGTAGTCCTTCAAAAGCGATGGGTCCAAGTTTCCTCGAACTTTGTTCCTCAGGCTTCGCAAAAAGTCTACTAGGGGCTCCTGGCATCGCTACTAGGAGCAAGAACGCTACGTTCGGGGCTCTTGGCCGTACTACTAGGAGCGAAAAAGGACGCTACGTTTGGGGGTCATTGACAGATCTTCCCAGGTACGCGTTGCCATTAGCCCAGGCTCGCAATGAAAATCACGTATTGGACCAGGACAAAGCCCACAGGGCATGACAGGAAACCCACATATTCAGAGGCTCCCCACTTCCTCGGACTTGCAAAGCACCAGGTTTCAGATTTTCCATTTCCGCCCAGTGGTCAAGAAAGCCTAAATGACCTCCCTCATAAAACGCATGCCAAAGCAGCCTGATAAAACAGGTCAAGGTCTCAACCCCCGTTTTATGGTTTTGTACGCTTCATGAAACATCCAACTCCTTCAACCGCTGTGCCCATGCATTGCCCATCGAATTCCTCCCAGGCACGGTGGTTGGTCGAAAAGCTGTGAATAGGCGGCCTTCTGAAAGATCACCGGCAAATCGATCAGTCCGTTGATGCGCAGTTCCACCTCTGAACCATTCCTGAGATGGTCAAGAAAGCCAAAGCCCCACCAAAACATCGGAAAGCCAGGGATACGGCATAGGCAACAACCAAGAAAGCACTCTGACCGTTGACTTTCCCGTTCTGAATCCTTCGGGTTTGAATGCACAGGAGGCTTTCGTGGCAGTTTTCTCTTCCAGAATCTTCTCAACTTCTTTTCCGCCCAAGGCTCGCATACGTCAATCCAGGCACAGTAAGAATGTCACCGGCAAGTTGACCACTTTGCACCATGTAGTCTTGATAGCTTTCCCACTCACTCCATTTCCTGGAGAGAGAAAGAGCTTCTCCGGCTTGGAACAAGCGACACGTCAAAAAGGAGTTTGCTCAAATGGCTTCTTCCATGTTAAAGAAAGATGCGCTCTCCACCAAGAACTAGACTTGACTGGACTATGTGACTATACAAAAAGTATATGTTTTGTATGTTTGTTTTTCTCCTGCACCGCATGTCTTGATTTCTGAAACTCCAAGAAACCTGAACTGTAGCATGTGGCCTTTGGAACGTTCACCATTCTCCTTACTGCCAACTCCAAAGTGGTCTGGCCCAACACGCCCTCCAGGTTCAAAGCACTGCGAAAAATGGGCCAAAAGACATGATCTTCGCCCAAGCCATCCTGGCACTTCTGACGGGTCGATGACTTCTGGGTGCAGAAATTAGATGGGGAAGGGATGGAACTGGACTGGGTACTCTGAGATATTTGCTGACTCCGCAGAGGCAACATGGTCACTTGCCATGTCCATGTCAATGAGGAAGAAAAAAAACCAAACCGTGCTGCAAATCCAAATCTCAACGACCAAACCCAGGTTTTCCGAAGCACACCAAAGCTTCCAATATGTACTGGCAAGCAGCGCAGTCCAAGAAGGCTGCAGCGCGCCTGGGTGAACAACCATCGGCACGCAGAAACAGAACATCGAGTTGTCTAGTCCGCACAGCCAACAAAGTCCGGTGAAAAGGACGGCAAAACACGTGACTCTCCAAGCGTGACTCTCTAGTCTTTCTGAGCCTTTCCAGACCATCCACAACTATGCAACAAAATTTGCGCCCTTCGGCTGCTTTTTGATGGCTGACAAGGCAAACATGTAGCAGAGCTGGAAGATCCAGGTATGTCCCATCCATGTACTGGTTGATCAAATGATTCATGATGGAATGGATTGGAATGGCCGTTCTTTGTTTGGTACAAGATCCCCTGCACGGCTCCCTAAATCAACTCCCATGTGGCAGTGGATCGAAACCTGGAGCTCCTAAAAAACCATGGAGAGCTTAGATCATTTTCATGGTCGCTCCGGTCATCTGTTCATCTGCCATTTCCCTGAGCTGGACTGGTCTCGTCACCTCTGCTGGTCTATCACTCTTCCAGTCCATGAAAACCGAGCCGCGATGGCGCCGGCGCTTCCTCGCTGTCCCAGCTCTCCAGCGGGTCACCTCAGTGAACATTGCACAAGGTGGGGCCACCAAACACGGTTCTGATTGAATGCAATGGCCCTGTCACCAATAGTAAAGAGTGAAGAACCATAAATCAAAACTAACTCGTAGTGGTAGGTCTTTATAATAATGCAGTGGTGATAGTTGCGTGTGAATAGGAGTTGTTCTAGTTCTAGTGGCACAAGTCCGGACCGTGCGGCACGCCCGATCGGTCTCTTCACATGGGCCCATCGGGTGAATTCGCTCGCCTGCAACTCTTCCATTTCGCACCTTTGTGCGTTTTGTGCTACAATCCCGATTAATGACCTCATTTGTGCTGGAGTAAAGTCACTCAAGGAGGCAAAAGAATAGGTTTTACTGGGCCTTTGGACTTGTAGGAAATTCATTCTTAAATGAACGTCTTCCAAAGTCTGTTCTGCTGTTTTGTGGAAGTATCCACTCGCCGTTGTATACAGCTGGGTTTGAGGTGTCAACGAGCAAGAACACTTCTAGAACTAGGAGTTTTTGCTTTGCTTGTGCATCCTTTGGATTGAAAACACTTTGGAGTTTGGCACCTCGCTGACCCGTGGCAACACGTTTCGGATCACCAAGCTGCGATCTGCAGCAACCCGAAGCACAGCCAAGGCCACGGCCTTCATGACACTTCGAACGCCCTCATGGGGCACAGCACGGCACAGTGGCCATCAAACTGCGATCTGCAAGAAAAAGATCTGAAAACGATAGTAAGGCAATGTAATCAAGGCCAGGAGCTACTATATATAGTAGCCTCTTGTTCCGAGTAGGAATGCCAGGAGCTACTAGTAGCGTCCTTGCTGCTAGTCTTGTTCTTAGTAGTAATATGTAGTAATGTAAGGCATGACTTTTCGGTCGTGTGGCTGCGCAGGCTTGTGAAGCTGCCATGTGCCCGATGTTTCTTTTTGGCATTGAACTGGGGAATGAATGCCTCAGAATCCTCAAACCTGCCATTGCAAAAAAAAAGGTGTCGTAAGAACATGTTGGGTCTGCGCCATCAATGTGCCAGCACGACTGTTTCGTCTTCTGTGGCGTACCCAAAGGATCCAAGTGAGGCCCACTGCAGGTTGTCATGGCACAATGCCGTGGACCAAAAACACATCTTGAGATTGTCTCAAAACCTGAGATCCAAATGGCACGTGCAAATCCAAATGGTTGACAACTTCTTTTGGTAGCTTCTTGTTACTACTAGTAAGGCACTTGTTACTAGTAGCGATGCACCTGTTCCTAGTAGCTTAAGTAGCTTTCACTTCAACCTGAGATCTTCTCCAAACGTCAACATTCTTGTGCCGTCGATTTCTTCGATTCGTCCTGTCAGGCGTCAGCAACGAACAACTGCGCGAACAAGGCACAGAAGTTTTCTCAAACATTGGAGAGATGTGCTGGGACACCCTCACTGACTCCGTCAGTTTCAACTGGGTCTGCCAGGCGTTTTTCGTCCTTTCCGGCACGAGTCTCCGCACGCTGTTCGGTCTGGCAGAGGGCCTCGGCCTGGAGTTCGGCGGAGCCGGAAGACGTGAAGCGGCGCGTTTACGGCGGTCGAAATGAACGGACGGAGAGGTCATCGATGTTCTTCAAAAACGATGATGCACTTGTTTTAGTCCCTTCGTTTAGTCCAAGCAACACGCACGGATACGAATTCAACGACCTTCCAAGAGGTCCTTTGGAGACAAAGGCCTAGTAGCTTCTTGTTACCAGGAAGGTGAGAAGCTACTAGTAGCGCCCTTGCTCCTAGTAGCGATGCCCTTTGCTGCTAGCAGCTTCATGTTACTAATTGTAGGTCAGGGGCTTGGCGACCTCCACTCAGGAGACCACAAAGCCCACGCGCCTGCGTCACCTGCTGTCGCTCCGCAACGCTCACCTGTCGTCGCAAAGATGGCCAGTTGCCGTCCCCACGACTCGTGACTCCACAGATCTCCGAACGTGTCTGCAACGTGTCTTTCTCTTGGTGCCACAGAAGCACTGATCAAAATACAGCCAAAAGAAAAGCACGGCGTGGTTGTTCCATGTATTTTGTCCTTCTGACCTCGTCAACTGACGATTCTCCAGCTTCGCGCCTTCTCCTCCAACTCCATGACCTGCCGTTTCTCCTCCAAACGCTCTCGTTCCATGCACGCCTCCCGGCGCATGCCGCATGACAGAGAGAGAGAGATTCTAGACTTCCTGGCTCAGGGACTGGTTTTTTCCGAGCAACCCTTGTTACAGTTGCACTATGTTGTACACTGAGTTTTGTTTAGTGACAAAACCAGGTCAACCACTATAAAAGGGTCTTGGAAGGCTCGGGGAGAAAGGGAGAGAGGGAGTGGGAAGGGAGAGTGGGTGATGATCCATTGGCGGCTAAACGAGGTTTGTAGACACAACACAAATTAGACACTCCAATAAGAACCCTTTTGATGCTTGACCTGACTCACACGTCTCGCCTGGGCGCTCTCCGACTGCCGGAGCTTCTCCTCGAGCTCTTTGATCTCGGCCTCGTTGGAGAAAGGCGTGGATCGGGATGGGCGATGCCAAACCCTCCACGCCATGGAGCATTTGTCTTGCGTCTTAGTATCCCATCTGAAGCTTAGATCCACCCAAATTCAATTGGTCGGTTGCCTAGATCAGCCCAAATCCCAGAAATCCTGCCAAATTTTCGAAGGTCAAAAGTACACTCGGGGCTCTGAAGAGACCTCGAATAAGACACGACTGTCTCAGGCTTGGACTCGGGACGCCAGCTGCTGTTGCAGCTTTGTCACTTGGGCCTCCCATCTAAGTCTTGGACACGTCAACGTCAAATCAAACAGAGCCCGTAGACGTAAGATTCCGTAAGATCGTACCAGGAGCTCCTGGTAGTAGTAATGCCGTTGTTACTAGTAGCGATGCCATTTGTTCCTAGTAGCTTCTTGCTCTTAGTATCGATGCCAGGAGCTCCTAGTAGCGTCTTTGCTAGTATTCACAAGCCAGAAAGCATCCGATGCAGATCATCGGGGGATGGAGGAGATTCGCAGTTTCTGTGATTTCCACCATCGGGTCAAAACGTGTTCAACGGCCTTCTGGTCTGGTGGAAGGCAAGCTCAACGGTAGATGGTCATCATACAAGTTCCCAGGACACTGGAGGCTTAAAGGATATTATTGTTATCTCATTCCAAGCTGTCATCAACAAGGGGGAAGTTCAACCCTCCCTGGCTCACGATTCACTTCACTAGATAAGTATGTGTTAAATGGATGAGTGTAACCCAGGCAGTTGCATGGTTCGGCTGGCGACCATATGGATCATCTTTGTACCTTTAGACCAACCCACACTGGAGAACGACCCATTCGAACAAAACCACTGCATGACAGTAGAATTCCATCGCCACAGTGGATTTCGTCTCTCCAGCCCTCGGGTGTGGGTTTCGTTCTTGACACATTGACACAGAAAAGAAGGGTCCCCTGGATGCCGAAGAAATTGAACGTCAAACACCCGGGTTGCGGAGCTCAAAGATCTTCAAAGTCCAAATTCCTGTTTGTTTAAAAAGCTGTTTGATGCTTGTTTTCCTTCCCAAATCCACCTCCCGCAGCTCTCGGGCTTTTCGCTTGGGCGCCTTGGCGGTCGCACCCAGTGAGCGCTGCAGTGATGCGTCGGCCTCCGCCGCATCGCAGCGGTCCTGGAGCCGCTGCACCTGGAACGGTCAAAGGGTTTGAAGCAAGAGGGAATTGAAAATAAAAAGGATGTGAAAACAAAAAAAATTCATCAATCAACGGATCTTCTCTCTTTTCTCCTTCTCCAAAGAACCAACTTGTACAGGGTCGACCTGCAGATTGGCGGCAGCGAGCCGACTGTGGAGATCATTCAGCTGTACCTGGTCGCACGGAGGTGCTCCGCTCCGCTCCGGTGCTCCGCGCAGCACAGGGACGGCCCCCCCGCTCTGATCCGCTCTCAATCCGGGGACACATCAATTCAAGCATCTCACATTTTTTTTAAATCCGAATAGCTTCTTGCTCCTAGTAACAAGTGCATCGCTAGTAGTAACAAGTGCCTTACTAGTATAGTAACAAGAAGCGAACGTAGAAACAATAAGCGAACGTAGCTTCTTGCTCTCCTTTGTTACTAGTAGCGATGCCAGGAGCCTTGTCATAGCCTTGCCCCGTTCGCCTCCACGCGGCTCATCTCCACTTCGATCCGCAGCCCGGACCGGGGCCGCCGGTAAGCACGCCCACCTGGAGGTCCAATCGGTCACCACGAGGACGAGGACCGTGAGAGCAGCGAGGACGATGTCCACTTTGGTCTTCTATTTTAAATTTTTGGGGCATCTCTCAGGACGAGGTTCTTCACTCAGCTTCCAGCCATCGACACCTGGCAGCATGCCGCCGGCACCTGTAAAGCCGCAGGGAGGATCCAAATGCAAAGTGGGAAGATTGAGACGTGAAGCCAAACAGGGGAGTTCAACCGTGCATGTAACGCCTGTTCCGGATGGGCGAGCCCTCTTGCTGCCCAGGCGCTGGCAGGTCGAGCCTCGTAGTCTGCGCACCAGGCCTTGAGCATTGAAACGACGAGTTGAGAATGAGATGGAGTCAACTTGCAGAGTTTGATGGCAGAAACGTTGGATTGACACATCGTGGTGGCATCTTAACATGAAGCATTAAAGGGTCAGATGTGGCATTTTGTACCGTCCAGTGTCATCATGCTTCAGTGTTCTGACCTGTCCCTGCATTTGCGTAGAGTCTTACTCCTCACACGCCGCTAGGTGAAGTGCTCCAAGATCCCAAAATGGCCCACAAAGTCTTTTGAACAATTCTCTGAGCCCTCTGATTCTTGGCATTCTTAATTTGATAGTATTAGGATGCTAGTATAGGCGGAGGCCATTAGTACCAGTAACAAGAAAATAAATGCTAGGAACAAGGACGCTACTTACTAGGAGCATTTCGGGCATCGGACCCGTATAGAAACAGCCGTTAAGCTGCAACTCCTGTTTTGGGCCGCGAGCTGCGAAAGGTAGGTCTACATGACATCCTACTATGTGCATGGTACAAAGTGTACATATTACATGGAGTGAAAATACACCCCCCTCAGCTAAGGTAGCTTTGCTCCCGAAGCTGGACGCGGAAAGTGCACGAGGGCTTGTGCAGGGCACGGCAGTGATGTCGGCTCAAAGCTGCATGGCAGTTGTGGATGCTAGCAATCCACTGCCTACGTGGCCCTGTACGTGCATTTTAATTATTCACTCCCCGCCGCCAAAAGAAATTGAAAGTTTGGACTTGGGAGGAAAACCGCATACATATTGACAATGGATGTCATGCATTGAATTAGGCTCGCTCAGGCAAAAGGTTGAGACTTGGCTCAACTAACGCCAATGCCACTGGCTCCGACTCGAGCTCCAGTCCCACGAACGGCGGTCCCACTGCCGCTGCTCGCCCCACTCGCTCCAGTTCCATGAGCTCCATCCCCACGAGAATGATGCTGATCCGGATGCACGTGGGCTCACCGGTGAAGGTGGCGGACCTCCCTTTGCCTTTGAAGCTGGAGTTCCATCACCTCCGGTAGAGGACTTGCGCTTGCCCTTGCTCTGCTGCTGGCGCTGCTCTTGAGTCTGCTTGTTGACCACATCACGCCTGGCAGCGGAGAGGTTGTCGTGGCATAGCTGGCGAAGCTCCTCCATTGCGCAGT